GTTGAATGCCCTTCGTCAAGAAAGGAACAACTCGAGGAAGATGGTGGATGATATGGTTGGTGGTAAAGCTGCAGATGTGAATAACGTATCATTAGAGGAGAAAGTTTCAAACTTGGAGCAGAAATTGAAGCGATGGAAAAGACTTGCGACGTGGTCATGGATTCTTTTTGCTATTTTTGTAGCGGGCAGAATGATGTAATGAAGTTGGTGGCCTCTAATATTTTGCGATTGTTGATGAAAAATTCCAACAGATCTACATATTTTTGTACTTCTTTTATGTGAATTGGTTAGGTCTAGGCATGATGTCCTGGTTGTATCAATGATGGAAATTTGCAGATATTAGTTATTTAAACTATTTATTTTGGTTGTTAAATGAATGAAATCTGCAGTTTTTTGTTATTTTAATTAGCTCTTTTGGTTGGTGAATGAAGGAAATGTGCATATTTCTTTATTGCCTGTACAATGTATTGCCATTAGCATATGGGAAGTCAGATTTTCCCATTAGCATTCTGGCTAAACAACCAGAAAATTGCTAAACATGAGCACAAAGTATACCAACATGAACAAATCTGGTGGGGTAATACTATGTTATTAAGAATCCACCCTTTCGTTCCTATTTTTCTTTTTGCCAACCAAGAGCCTTGGGTAATAACAAATAACTATATATTGAAGGTGCAACAGATTGTTGAAGTGTGTTTTGAAGTTCAGCAAATTGACTGGAATGTTCAGGAGAGGTCATTCTCACACCCGGAGTAGGCATGAAGGCAAATTCTGAATTTTGACTGTCTTGGGGTGCCGTCAAGGGCACATCTTGTACTGTTTGGGAAGTTCCTTCACCATTAGCCTACAAGAGTTGTTCATTAGAAGACATTATGAATTAAAAAAAATTGTAAGTTAAGAAAATATGTGAAAAGGATCATTACCAAAGGGCATTTTCTTCTGTTGTGACCTGTTGTACCACAGAACCCACATGTCATTATAAGTCCCTTTCTTGAAGCTGACCAGACCCCCTCCCTCTTCCCGGCCTCATCTTTTTCTCTTTTTCTCTTTACCTTTGGTCTACCCACCATTTTATGTACTTCTGGTGGCTCCATTGCATGTTCTGGCTCAATTTTCCAAAATTTCTCACCTCTCACAGGTTGTAACTTGTGCATGTATGCCAACATATAAGCTTCCTTTGAATACCACCAATACACCTCGCTTAATGGATCTTGTTTGTCGTGCATTAAAGCTTTGATGGCATGAGGACATGGTATTCCTGTCAAATTCCAGGCCCTGCAAGTACACTTCTTTAATTCAAGGTTAACTGTATGCTTATCTTTACCCTCAACCACTTCATATCCGTAATCTCCATTAAAGACAACTTTGCACTCTATTGCAATCACTCTGTAATCATTGTAAAGCTCTATGGCATATGTGCTAATTTCTTCCTTCCAATTCCTACATTCCTCCTCACGGTTCTTCAACAAATTCATTACCTACAATAAAAGGAAATCATTGGAAAAAATTAACAACCAATTTATAAAAAGTTAACAGAAGAAAGATACAAAAATTTACCTTTAATTTAATGTCTTCCAACATCTTAATTATAGGTTTATTTCTAGCTTCAAGAATCCATTTATTGAATGATTCCGTAAAGTTATTATCAACCATATGATTCTTGCATTTAGTATCAAAATAAGCCCTACACCAATATTGAGGAGGGTAGTGTATTAGTTCCCTAGCAGTATCTTCATGAACATCACCCAGAGCCTTCAGTTGATCCTTGAACTCTTCTTCATAGGTACTCCAAGCACACCACCACATTAACTTTTTCATCTCTATACCCCTCCAATTTTTGCTCCAATTAGCTTCAATGTTCCTAGCACACCATCTGTGATTTGCTTTTGGAAGGACATTAGAAACAGCCTCCAAAAGCCCCTACAACAATAAAAAAATCAGTTACAAATAAAATGTAAATTAAACAAAGAGATAAAAAAAATTGACAAACAATTACCTTTTGCAAATCTGACATAAATGTCACTCCTTCACCATCTTCAAGCTCCAAGGAATTTCTCAGTAACTCCATAAACCACTTCCAGGTTCTACCAGTTTCTTTATCAACTACTGCCCATGCAAGAGAAGGATAAAAATATTTCACTGAATCTTGTGCCATGGCCACCAGTAGAATTCCCTTACACTTCCCTTTTAGAAATGTGCCATCTAGGCCTATAAGAGGTCTCAAACCTGCTTTCCAGCCTGTTTTCAAAGCTTGGAAGCAAATATACATTCTAAGGAACCTTCTTTTTCCTTCTGCCAAAGCATCTTTAGATATGTTTATCACCACATCAGAACCAGGGTTACTATCCCTCAACTCTTGAGCATATACCTCTAACCTATTGTAATCATCAATGAAGCTACCCTCCAATTTCTCTAGCACAAGCCTCTTTACCCTCTTCATCTTTGAATAGCTAACATTCAGATTGAATTGATCCTCTAGGTCCACCCTCATGTCTTTCGCTTTATATTTAGGATTATTTTGGACTTTGTTCTTGAAATAGTGTGCTAAAGCTTGGGGAGTAGCTCTTCTATTCTTATATGCTGGCTGACAATTGTGTTCTGTTTTCAAAGTCTTAATTTTAAATCCTTGATCTTTATTATCCTTAGATATCAAGCACCTAAAAGGACAACCAACATCACATTTATAACTAACTCTACCGGTGTCACTCTTAAAAACTTTAAGGCCCTTTTTATTAGCCATTGCATAAAACCCCACAATTCTTTTTGCTTCATCCAAATCTTTAAAACTCATACCCTGTTCCAACTCTTTATAGTTGTCTAGTTTGTCATGAACTTCTTTAGTCCTTTCCTTACTAAAGAGATCCAATTGATTACTATCATAATTACTAGAGTGAAGTTCATATGCTTCCTCTTCCTCACTTGACTCACAATCGGTGCCAACATTTACTGTGACACTATAAGGTTCATTATATTGACTTATGCTAGGAGCTGG